TAAGTGTTGCTATCAGTACTAGAACTGTAGTTGTTGCCATGTTTTTTTTTGTAACTCTTGGGGATATCAAAAAAAAATTAAAACTAAGTTCTAGTGGCATCAACTTTAAAGCATTACCAAGGAAATTATTGATGTCAATTAATTTGAAACTACATAAGAAAATAAAGCTTTTCTGTTTGAAAGATAAATGCAAACCTAATAATTTCTTAGTAGTAAACTTGAAGATTTATAATGTTAAAAACTGAGTTTCTATACCCATGATGGGCACAGCATAAATAGTTCCTTTACTACCAGACTTTAATTTGGTGCTTTTACCTTCTCTTGGAACCATCTTTTAAATTTTTTTAAAATATATATACTAGGTCAACACAGGGATGTTTTGTAATTAGGCCTAAAAATCTTCATAAATGTTTTTTTTTTTTATTTGAAAGTTTTTTTTTGATGAAATTACAATGTTTTATAGAAGCATAGGTTGTATTGGAACACAACTTTAATGTTTATTCACAGTCAAACAAATTCCAATTAAAAATGAAAACTATAATTATATTGCATTGTAAGAAGTATTGAACACAAAATATGTACATAAATTACATTTTTTGATGTGGGTTGTCGTCTTTTGTTTCTAACTTACTTCCACTTTTTCCACATATTCGGTTACTTCACTAGGTGGTGCTGATGCTGGTGCAGAGAAAATATGATCATACAACAGTCCTGCTATAACTCCACCAAGAATAGGACCAAGGCAGTACAACTAGATGTGATCAGAAAAATAATTTTACTACAATATTGATTGAGAGAGGTTTTCCACTAATGTGTTGTACAATTATACAACAAACTTAACAATGGTTGAGACAGGTTCTTCCACTAAAGTAACAACACAACAAACTTAACAATGGTTGAGACAGGTTTTTTCACTAAAGTAACAATACAACAAACTGAATAATGGTTGATACAGATTCTTTCACTAAAGTAACTATACAACAAACTTAACAATGGTTGAGACAGGTCTTCCACTAAAGTAACAACACAACAAACTTAACAATGGTTGAGACAGGTCTTCCACTAAAGTAACTATACAACAAACTTAACAATGGTTGATACAGATTCTTTCACTAAAGTAACTATAATATATATATTTGTTTGAATTGCACTAACAAACTACAGTCTGTTTCTTAAATTTTGTGCAAAGCTACTCAGACGGCTATCTGCGCTAGCTGTCCCTAACTTAGAAGTATGAGAGAAGGCCACCGCCAACTCTTAATCAAATAGTGGGATTAATAATCATATAATAACAACCAAAAGGTTGAAAGGACGGGACAAAATAATGTAATTAATCATACCTTCTTCGCAAAAATAACACATCTGACTTTGTTCACTAATCTATACAAGCAATATACGGTTTCGGTTCAGGCCTAGCATTTTGTTACGTTAACGAGTTGTTCATAATAGACAAAAGCATTAATCTAATCATGAGCCTTAACAATGAGTCCAGTTCTGTTAAATTTCTTATATTGTAATAGTAAAACACTTGTCTCAACCATTGTTAAGTTTGTTATATAGTTACACAACGCTTTAATGGAAGCCACATTTCAACCATTGTTAAGTTTTTTATATTGTTACACAACACTTTAATGGAAGACACATTTCAACCATTGTTAGTTTTTATATAGTTACACAACGCTTTAATGGAAGACACATTTCAACCATTGTTAAGTTTGTTATAGTGATATTATACAAGACTTTAGTGGAAGACCCATCTCAACCATTGTTAAGTTGTTATAGTTGTATTATACAAGACTTTAGTGGAAGACCCATTTCAACTATTGTTAAGTTTGTTTTAGTTATATTATACAATACTTTAGTGGAAGACCCATCTCAACTATTGTTAAGTTTGTTATAGTTATATTATACAAGATTTTAGTGGATAACCTGTCTCAACCATTGTTAAGTTTGTCATATTGTTACTTTAGTGAAAAAACCAGTCTCAACCATTGTTAAGTTTGTTATATTTTTAATTTCTAATCAGCCAACCAGAAGCATCATAATTATAACTGTACACTATATATATAAAACATAAACAGCAGGTGTAAACAGGGTTCTTTCTTAACAATATCGACGTGAATTAAAAACTAACAACATTAAAACAGAACGTCAACCCGATCCCCTGGTGGTCATGTGTACAAGTAGTGTAATAATAAAGGGGTCTGGCCCCAAATTAAAAAAAAACAAAAACACCTCGTCTCAAAAGAGAACTTGATAAAGTTGTTTGTTATAGGCTGCGAACACAACAACATATACAATACTTTGAACTAACTTGTGTGTATAGTTAAAAATTGGTTACAAAACCTGAAACATACGAGTATGAGCCTTACTATGACAGCAGAACGATTGTAAAGAATGTTTTCTTATATCCGAATAGATAGTGAACGTAAAATTATTGTTCTTTAACCAAACTTATTAAGGTTATCTGCCGCTGTCCTAAATTTAGAACTACTGACTACAGAAAATGCAGCCAGCCAGTAACACCCTACCACCCACGCTAAGGGACTGCCTTTTTTAATGCACCCACATTTTAAAAGTGCGCGGAATATTTGATGTTGTCTCAGAGAGTCGAACCTTGCTCGCATCTCCGAAATTCTGAGCTCGATAACAGTATCAATTTTATGTGTTTATGTTTGTACACAGCAGATAGCCAATGTGGCTTTGCTCTAAAACAACCGTTTATTGTTTGTTTGTTTGTAATTAAGCACAAAGCTACACAATGGACTATCTGTGCTCTACCCACCACGGGTTTCGAAAGCCGGATTTTAGCGTTGTAAGTCCGCAGACACACCGCTGTGCTACTGGAGGGCACAACCGTTTACATTTCACATTATCACTATGTCAAATTAACCAGCCTACAAAGTTACGACGATATTCTAGGACGAAATATATCCAAACAGTTCCTAAAGAGTTTTAAAAACTTGTCTACAGCTAGTCAGCTTTAATCTTGATCAACCTGTTATATGGCCGTCTGTTGATTATAGGTGAGAAGGAAAAATGTTGAGCATATTTCAGCGCAGACGGTCATGTGTACAAGCTGTGTAATAAACTGACTTGGTTTCTATACTTATAAATAAATTTTAGAAAATAACGCCCGTCTTCATGAGAACAAAACTTAATAAAAATGTCTGTTATTAACGAACACAACAGCGTGAAAGTAAACGTTGAAAATTATCGTTATAAACCCCGGGAACTCACAGCCAATGTCAACAATGCTTTCTTATATCCTAATATAAAGAGTCAAACAGTCTGTTTTAAACGCGTGAAGGCGAACAATGTCCTATGTCGGTGGTTTAAAACACATTTATTCGCGAACCGCCCGAATTATCAACGTTATTATTTTTTTATCTCGTCGGCCAACAATGGGATTTAAACACTATTCAGCCGCTTCCTTTCCGTAATTATACAACCTTTCCACGAACCACTTGAAGTGGACCTCAGATTGAAAAGCACTATTATAACGTTATATCCATAACAACAGCAAATAAAAACAATGTCTTATTTTATAGCTTACCGAATATAAACCTGGTATGTGACCATAAACTACAGGGATCACAATATTCGTTCCGATAGCACGCGGAACGTGAACTACGTTGGCCTATATCAACACACGCAGGAAGTGTGAATAATATTACCCTATATTAAGCAGGCAGCGAAGGGGTGAAAAAGCAATTACCTGTGTAATTAAGTAATAAAACAGCAAACAAAGGAACTATATATCAATAACTGTTATTTCCATATAGAGAATCATAATTATATACTTATCAAACATTTCAGTAGTGACTGTTCGCTATAACATCTTAAAATTCTTTTACTGGTTTAGTTACAACAACAAATATGTTTCATCTAATTTACCTAGCTTTAGTCTTGTTTAACCTGTTATATAGCAAAGGGTGGGGGCCGTTAGTTGATTATCGGTTAGGCATAAAATGTCGAGTAAATTTAGTCGCACACATGTCCTCCCCTCCCAAAAAAAAGCAGCAACAATAACAAATATATTTTCCCAAGTTTGGCGGTTGGTTATTCTTACATGAGATGGTATCTTTAACTTAGAAATCAAAGCACATAAAATAACCAGCTCCAGAAGTTTTCACAGAGATGCACCTTTTAACAATAGTCAGTGTTCGTTTCCTTTTTTTCTTGGTCCCCTGGTGAGTCAGCGATAATTTTACGGATTTACAACGCTAAAATCCGAGGTTCGAATCCCTCCAGTTTGACAGAACATCTTAACATCTTATTGTTACGTTATTTAAAGTTTTTTATGGACAACAAGTGTCAGTGACTATATTATATAATTTTGTTCTTTCAACAAGAAAACTGTCTGTTTTTTGTTATTTTAAGGTTGTTCGTTGTATGTGAAAACTGTAAATAAATAGGTTTAGTTAAAGTGGTGTTCTGGATAACAAAGCTATTATAAATTATGTAAAAACATTTCTAGACAACAAAACTATTAGTATATATCGATCCCTTGTGTGACATTACCTCGCAAAAAAAATGATTTATAGATGTTTCTCCATAATGAGGATTATATGCCATAATAATATATAACTGTTACTATTATCCACGTTTGTTCTCTTGACAACAGAACTGTCTCTTTAAGTACATTATTTAAACTTGCTCTTGACAACAGAACTGTCTCTTTAAGTACATTATTTAACTTGCTCTTGACAACAGAACTGTCTCTTTAAGTACATTATTTAAGCCTGCTCTGTGACAAAATAATTGCCTCTTTCGATAAATTATTTAAGCTTGCTCTTGACAAAAGAACTGTCTCTTTAGATACATTATTTAAGCCTGCTCTGTGACAAAATAACTGCCTCTTTCGATAAATTATTTAAGCTTGCTCTTGACAAAAGAACTGTCTCTTTAGATACATTATTTAAGATTGCTCTTGACAAAAGAACTG